GTACGGCAACCCTATCCTAGAAATCATGTTGTTAGACAATGGTGAACCTTCGAACTATGAAGAAGTGATGGCGGGCCCAGATTCCGACAAATGGCTGGAAGCCATGAAATCCGAGATAGGATCCATGTATGAAAACGAAGTATGGACTTTGACTGACTTGCCCGATGACCGTCGAGCCATAGAAAATAAATGGATCTTTAAGAAGAAGACAAACGCGGATGGTAATGTGACCATCTATAAAGCTCGGCTTGTCGCTAAGGGTTATCGACAAGTTCAAGGGGTTGACTACGATGAGACCTTCTCACCCGTAGCGAAGCTGAAGTCCGTCCAAATCATGTTAGCAATCGCTGCATTCTATGATTATGAGATATGGCAAATGGACGTCAAAACGACATTCCTTAATGGTTTCCTTAAGGAAGAATTGTATATGATGCAGTCGGAAGGTTGTGTCGATCCTAAGAATGCTGACAAGGTGTGCAAGATCCAACGCTCGATCTATGGGCTGGTGCAAGCATCTCGGAGTTGGAAAATCCATTTCGATGAGATGATCAAAGCATTTGGGTTTACGCAGACTTATGGAGAAGCCTGCGTTTAAAAGAAAGTGAGTGGGAGCTCTGTAGCATTTCTCATATTGTATGTGGATGACATACTATTGATGGGAAATGATATAGAATTCTTGGAAAGCATAAAGGCCTACTTGAACAAGTGTTTTTCAATGAAGGATCTTGGAGAAGCTGCTTACATATTAGGCATCAAGATCTATAGAGATAGATCGAGACGCCTCATTGGTATTTCACAGAGCATGTACCTTGACAAGATATTGAAGAAGTTCAATATGGATCAGTCAAAGAAGGGGTTCTTGCATCTGTTGCAAGGTACGAGATTGAGCACGTCTCAATGCCCGACCACGGCAGAAAATAGAGAAAAGATGAGCGTCATCCCCTATGCCTCGGCCATAGGGTCTATTATGTATGCCATGTTGTGTACCAGACCTGATGTAAACCTTGCCGTAAGTTTGGTAGGAAGGTACCAAAGTAATCCCGACATGGAACACTGGACAGCGGTCAAGAATATCCTGAAGTACCTGAAAAGGACTAAGGATATGTTTCTCGTTTATGAAGGTGACGAAGAGCTCGTCGTAAAGGGTTGCGTCGATGCTAGCTTCGACACAGATCTGGATGACTCCAAGTCACAAACCGGATACGTGTATATTTTGAATGGTGGGGCGGTCAGCTGGTGCAGTTGCAGGCAAAGTGTCGTGGCGGGATCTACATGTGAAGCGGAGTACATGGCAGCCTCAGAGGCAGCACAAGAAGCAATCTCGGTGAAGGAGTTCATTACCGACCTAGGAGTTATTCCCAATGCATCGGGCCCGATGACTCTCTTCTGTGACAACACCGGAGCTATTGCCCTTACCAAGGAGCCCAAGTTTCACAGGAAGACCAGGCATATCAAGCGCCGCTTCAACTCCATTCGTGAAAATGTTCAAAATGGAGACATAAATATTTGTAAAGTGCATACGGACCTGAATGTTGCAGATCCGTTGACTAAACCTCTCCCTCGAGCAAAACATGATCAACACCAGAACTCTATGGGTGTTTGATTCATCACAATGTAACTAGATTATTGACTCTAGTGCAAGTGAGCGACTGTTGGAAATATGCCCTAGAGGCAATAATAATATGGTTATTATTATATTTCCTTGTTCATGATAATTGTCTATTGTTCATGCTATAATTGTGTTATCCGGAAATCGTAATACATGTGTGAATATATAGACCACAACATGTCCCTAGTAAGCCTCTAGTTGACTAGCTCGTTGATCAATAGATGGTTATGGTTTCCTGACCATGGACATTGGATGTCATTGATAACAGGATCACATCATTAGGAGAATGATGTGATGGAAAAGACCCAATCCTAAGCATAGCACAAGATCGTGTAGTTCGTCTGCTAGAGCTTTTCTAAGTGTCAAGTATCATTTCCTTAGACCATGAGATTGTGCAACTTCCGGATACCGTAGGAGTGCTTTGGGTGTACCAAATGTCACAACGTAACTGGGTGGCTATAAAGGTGCACTACAGGTATCTCCGAAAGTGTCTGTTGGGTTGGCATGAATCGAGACTGGGATTTGTCACTCTGTATGACGGAGAGGCATCTCTGGGCCCACTCGGTAATGCATCATCATAATGAGCTCAGTGTGACTAAGTAGTTGGTCACGGGATCATGCATTACGTCACGAGTAAAGTGACTTGCCGGTAACGAGATTGAATGAGGTATTGGGATACCGACGATCGAATCTCGGGCAAGTAACGTACCGATTGACAAAGGGAATTGAATACGGGATTGATTGAATCCTCGACATCGTGGTTCATCCGATGAGATCATCATGGAATATGTGGGAGCCAACATGGGTATCCAGATCCCGTTGTTGGTTATTGACCGGAGAGTTGTCTCGGTCATGTCTGCATGGTTCCCGAACCCGTAGGGTCTACACACTTAAGGTTCGGTGACGCTAGGGTTGTAGAGATATTAGTATGCGGTAACCCGAAAGTTTTTCGAAGTCCCGGATGAGATCCCGGACGTCACGAGGAGTTCCGGAATGGTCCGGAGGTAAAGATTTATATATAGTAAGACCAGTTTCGGCCACCGGGAAAGTTTTGGGGTCACCGGTATTGTACCGGGACCACCGGAAGGGTCCCGGGGTCCACCGGGTGGTGCCACCTATCCCGGAGGGCCCCATGGGCTGAAGTAGGAAGGGAACCAGCCCCTAGTGGGCTGGTGCGCCCCCCTTGGGCCTCCCCCCGCGCCTAGGGTTAGAAACCCTAGGGGTGGGGGGCGCCTTCACTTGGCTTGGGGGTCAAGCCACCCCCTTGGCCGCCCCCCATCTAGATGGGATCTAGAGGGGACGGCGCCCCCCTGGCCCCTATATATAGTGGAGGGGAGGGAGGGCAGCCGCACCCAAGTCCCTGGCGCTGCCCTCTCCCTCCGTGACACCTCTCCCTCTCGTTGGTGCTTGGCGAAGCCCTGCCGAGATCCCGCTGCTTTCACCACCACGCCGTCGTGCTGCTGGATCTCCATCAACCTCTCCTCTCCCCTTGCTGGATCAAGAAGGAGGAGACGTCTCTTCCAACCGTACGTGTGTTGAACGCGGAGGTGTCGTCCGTTCGACGCTCGGTCATCGGTGATTTGGATCACGACGAGTACGACTCCATCAACCCCGTTCTCTTGAACGCTTCCGCTCGCGATCTACAAGGGTATGTAGATGCACTCCTCTTCCCCTCGTTGCTAGATGACTCCATAGATTGATCTTGGTGATGCGTAGAAAAATTTTAAATTTCTGCTACGTTCCCCAACAACACTACACTAGTCTACGGTCGGCCACAACGGATCCCTTTGTCTTCCCCATGTCCGGCAGACCGCTCACTGGACTACCGAGAGCCCCTGAGGTATAGTCTTACCTAGTATCTTTCGTATTTCCGGCTGCGTCACTCATCGGAGTGGCAAAAGAGGGTGATTCAGCCAAAGGGGAAGGGGCGCCTCCGCTTTAGTGGAGCCCAGGCGGGGGTTGACGATGGTCTATGCTGAAGAACCGGGCAATTCACCAGGTGTGCAAGCCGGCAACGCGCCGACGGTGGCCTTCATGGGATCCAAGCTCTACTTTCCCTCAATGTTGGCGGCGGACGCGGATGCGCTGGCCACCGACTCATCGACCACCGTGCAGCCGACTTCTTTCTCTCCCAACGACTCGTCGATCACCGCCAGGCTAGCCACCTAGTCCAAGGGAGGAGGGCGTCTCTTTGCCGACCAGCTTCTTCAATGACGCCCGCAAGTTGTTCGGCAGTTTGCCCCAAGGTACAAATGGACTCCGCCGACGAGTTCTTTTTCCACAATTTTCTCAGCGACTCCGATGATTCCTTATTCGAGGATGAGGATATGGCGGCTGCTGTGTTGGTCCATGACCACCTTAATAGGTAGCGACCGTTGTTTCGGGGTTCGATCCTGGGCACACTCCAGCGATGAATTGCAATCAAGAGAGCAACCATTTCCTTCTTTGGAAGGACTACTTTGACACAACCAACCCATTGTTCAAATGTCGCCAATTCCGGCGGCGTTTCCGTATGGCTAGACATGTTTCCAACCGTAATCGAGAAGGGGTGATTGGATACAATAAGTATTTCGAGTGCAAGGAGGGTGCCCTTGGAAAGATTGGCTTCTCATCTTATCGAAGATGCACTGTAGCTATCCGGATGATTGCATACAGAGTGTCCGGTGATTTGTTTGAGTATATATGGGTTCATGTTGGTAACCGGTAGATGTATTTTTTTTAAATGTATTTGAGACAATTTAATTTTTATTCAGCTTGTAAACTATGATATATTTGTTTGAGTTGTGGAACTATGCTACTTTTGTTTGCTTGTAAAACTATGCAAAAATTTATGTATATTTGTTAAAAAACGATGTCAAGCCTGTCACACAGGCAAATATGGGCCGGCGGTTTGGGTGTCACGAACGGCCAACCCAAACAGACTAAAAACGATCAAGCCCACGGTCTGTCTGAGCGGCGCGTTGGAGTTGCTCTTAGGATGCAACATTTGCGGATTTGGTTGCTTGCCGGCCGGCGAGCCACCGCCATTCTCTCCGCTACCGAACCGTTACATGGTTACCTCTTCCTTTTCAAAATGAAGAAAAACCGGAGCTCTCGGCAACCTCGCGCAAAGCCGTCGTCTATCACCGACCCATGGGACCAGAGGACCGCCGAGCCCCACCGGCCATGGAGCCAAACGGCAAAGCAACCGAGTGGCGGTCTCTCTGCCACCTTTCCCTCCTCCCATGGTTTTGGCACAGATTCCCAGCGCTGCCAAAAGCAAACAAGCTCCCCTGATCCTCCCGCCATTGCTCACGAGCACCGACGCGCCAGCCCCGCCGCTCCCACTGACAAGCAGCCCACGCCTCCATCGATTTGCTCTGCTTTCCTCGGCTGCGCAGCTTACACATGCATGCTGCCACTACTACGCTTCTCTCTCGCAGAGTCACGAGCCGCACAGTTCACCTCAGTCGTCAGTGAGCTCCACGGCCCGAGGAAGGAAGCAAGCGGCATCTCTCGGGAACGAACGACGATGGGGCTGTCCGCCATCTTCGCCGCGGCCGTGATGGTCGCGATCGTCGTGGTGGCGTCGGAGGCGAAGACGACGATCGAGCCGTGCTCGGGGTCGGACTCCTGCCCGGCGCTGCTGGGCTACACGCTCTACGCCGACATGAAGGTCTCCGAGGTGGCCGCGCTCTTCGCCACCGACCCGGCCGCGCTCCTCGCCGCCAACGCGCTCGACTTCGCCGCCCCGGGCGCCGCGCACCGCATCCTGCCCATGGGCCTCTTCCTCCGCGTGCCCACGCGCTGCGCCTGCGCCGACGGCGTCCGCAAGTCCGTCGCCGTCCGCTACGCCGCGCGCCCCGCCGACACGCTCGCCACCGTCGCCGACGTCGTCTTCGCGGGGCTCGCCTCCGCCGACCAGATCCGCGGCGCCAACGGCCTCGCCGACGCCGACGCCGACGCGCCGCTCGATGCGGGCCAGCGGCTCGTCGTGCCGCTCCCCTGCGTCTGCTTCAACTCCACCGACAGCAACCTCCCCGCCGTGTACCTCTCCTACGTGGTGCAGGTCGGGGACACCGTGCCCGCCGTCGCGGCCGCCTACGAGACCACCGTCACGGACGTCATGAACGTCAACGCCATGGGCAGCCCCGTCGCCGCGCCGGGCGACATCCTCGCCATCCCATTGCCAGGTAAGTACTACGCGTGATCAAACTGCTGCTCTTTTCATGCACATGCCACACACATTTTACAAGGATGATTTAGTTGATTCATTTACTAGGAGTGTCAGTGATCTCGGTTTACTAGATGAGATCGTCATGCTGCATTGCTTTGAAATGGAATGTAGTATGAAATGGCCTCAGTTTTCTAACTATGAGAGTCATGTGCCCACCGAAGTTCTGTTAATGATGGCACTGTTGGACACGTACAGTAGAGCAGAGTTTTTATTTATTTGGCACTTTCAGTTAACTATCACTGCTTGGGAAAGGCCGAAATGCATGCATTCAGGTCAGGAGTTAATACTTTTGTATACTATTACTACCTCCGTCTCAAATTACTTGTCTTTGTCTAGATACGGATGCACTCCCTCTGATCCACAAGTAATATGGATCAGAGCGAGTATCCAACACTAAAATGCGTAATTCGGGACGGAGGGAGTATGACATTGTGGTCCATTGCATAAGTTTTCTCAAATGTACATAGCAGGTGATTGATACGGACCTTCGAGCCGCGTATAAGATATTCACTAGCACATTGTTCAGTATATGATGAATTGCTGATCTATCCCCTTTCAATCATGTTTGAGGTTCAAAAGTGTGTATCCATGGGATAACATAAGCAACCTATTACGCAGTGTACTCAATTCTTCAAGTTGCATCTCTGTTTTTGTATGCTCTGCTTTTACCGATGACTGATTCTGCGACTCCACAGCTGAACAGACCTTTGTTTGCTCTTTTCTGAACATCAGCATTTGCTTAATCTTTTTTCTGATGATGGTCATCCTTTATCTTTATGTCCAGCATGTGCATCATCATTTCCAAAGACCGCTTCAGACCATGGACTGCTGGTGGCAAATGGAACCTATGCACTTACCGCAGGCAACTGTGTGCAGTGCAGCTGTGGGCCGGGCAATCTCAAGTAAAATTCAGCTTACAACTTGTCAGTTCACAAAGCCATTACTGACGAAATATATTATGGATCATTGCTGTAACCCCTGTCTTTCCTTCTGTGCCAGTTTATATTGCACACCGGCTTCATTGTCAGGATCATGCCCGAGCACGCAGTGCAGTAACAGCAATGTGCTGCTCGGCAACGCGAGCACCCACGCCACAAATGCAGGCTGCAATGTCTCTTCATGCAGCTATGGAGGTTTTGTCAATGGGACTATTACAACACTGTAAGCAATGTGTTTCAGAACGCTTTTCAGTTTATTGCTGTTTTCTGCAATCAAGATTGGTGTATCTTACCTTTTAATTCGCAGGCTGGACACTGGTCTTCAACCGACATGCCCAGGTAACTCCTGTTGCTGTAATCCTCTGTCTTCAGATTCAGACCCAAGGCTGTGACAGCATTCCATTCCTCCATTGTAGACTCTGCACAAACTATGTGATAGACTACGCGCAAACTATAAGCATTAGAAAAAAAGGTTTCAATTCGAAAATGCTTGCATTTTAGAGGAAAAAGCCTGGCAATTTCCGTTCTGAACCCGAACGCTCCATGCAACTGACACTGCCCTTTCAAAGCATCCACTGCAGTGTGCAAACTGTATCCCCAGAATCTATCTGTAGATACGAAAGACTCCACAATTTGTGTGGCAATGTCCAAACTGTATCATTAGTACACACAAAAAGGAGCAAATGTTGCAACTAAATTCACACAACTTCTGTTGCACATTGCACCGCGGTTACATGCAGTTGCACTTCTGAAGTGACCAACATATCTTTTTTCTGGATGAATATAGTAAAGCTTTAACCATGAACAAAGTTTACACAGTTCTAAACAGCACACCTGAAAACTCACGAGATCTTCAAACTGAAACACCGGAAACAACACACTTTGTTCTATGTTCCATGCTCTTAAATTTTACTAGCTCATCCGATCATCACAGCCAGTTTTTATCTTCGCATATCTCCTTTTTCTGACAGTTCATACGGTGCAGGACCGCACCAAGTTCCTCTGCTCACAGACCCACCGACGACGGTGAACCGCGACTACTCGACCTCTCTTGCCCCGCTATCCGCGCCCGTGCCCGCAGAAGCGGGCGGCGTCATGGCGGAGCCCCCGCCGAAGTCGTCGGAGCACGGAGGGTCCTTCACGCTCCCCAAGGTTTCTCCGACGCATGGCCCCGCCGGAAGCGTCTCAAAGGCACCACCGCCTCCGATGAGCAAACCGCAGCGAATCCTATCCGGGTTCATCTTGTGCCTTCTTCTCCAGCACTTCCATGTGTGAATCGCACCACTTCAAGAAATTCTTTTGAGCTGTATTTTCTGTAACTGTAAACAACTGGTAGTAGTAGCAGCGGTAGTAGTAGTAACATCATTTTGTGAGGTAAGTGGACAGTATGATGATGGCCATGTTTTTCGTATGCAGCTCCTTGTTCTTTCGAGGGGCATCATCACGTTCAAGTGTGACTTTATCTCATTGAGACGAGATCTCCCAGTTGTTGTTGTGTGTAAGCAGCATCTAGTAGGATATGTTTTGCGGACGACCACCGGATAATGATCATGTTTTTGGCAAGGATACGAGAGAGCTTTATTGTTTGAGTTTTGCTAAGTCTCAGTCGACTGAAATTTCGTTATGTCTCAGTCGATGCTACATTTCTTTGATTTTGCATGGAGATTCGTAAAAAGAAAATTCTTTTTAGTTTTCTTCTTTTTCTTCTTATATACCAGTATGTCACTTGATTAAGACTTGGTTAAGTCTCAGTCGACTGAGACCTAGTCGCACTCTTTGTTGTTTTGATTGATTAACCAGCACCTAAGAGGAGGTACATGCATGCACTCGGGCCATCAAGAGGCGCAGACACATGAAGATCACATTTGCTTCATCAGAAAAGATAAATTCTCAGTGTATGCACTGATTGCGCCAGTACAAAGCAGTTCTAGAGGAGTCATGCATGTGCTGTTTGCTTTCTTGATCTCTCTCTCTCTCTCTCTCTCTCTCTCTCTCTCTCTCTTTTGATTTTCTTATTCTCCTTCTCTTTGACGCTTTGACTTCATCTTTGGGACCAGCCAAATCCCCCACCCCCACTGTCTAGCGGATCGAGCTTCTGACGCTTTAACATGGAGCTTTCAGCTGAGCACATTTTCATCATGGAACCGTAGTACCAAAATGTACACTTGCTCGGTGTTTGGCCTGGAGACGGGCATCGGATTGCACAGAAAAAGCAATGGCATTTCACTTGTGCCGCCCGGCCTGATGATACGGTGGTGAGGTGGTCCTCCTAGCTACCGCTACGCTCCTACTATTCCCGGCGGATTCGTTCGTCGGTTGGGATGTGCAGCGTATCGTGCCGCTTTCCCCGGCTTGATGTGGCCATGCAAATGTGCAGATCACAACGTGACACACCGCCCACCATGGCTGTTGACTCTGGCCAGAACTAGTGAACGCCCCTTCAGAACCGATCGAATTGATCCTGTGACGACATTTCCTGCTGAGATCGATCGATCGATGAACGGTCGACGCATGCATGCAATGCATGGTGGTTACAGATCGGAATATAAATCAGCGACACGCAAGGTATATCCAACGGTGCAGGGCGGGCTTTCTGCGGAGAGAATAATGCCGCTTACTGCTGTAGGATGTCTCGCCGCTTATGCTAAAGGGCGTGATAAGCACGCTCTGGGTTAGAAGATGGGGGTGATTTGGCTTATCGCCTTGAGATGCCGATGCCGATGCCGCCTCCACACGGACGTACGTGGTCGCTATCCACATCTGGTAATGGTTGCCATCCATCCCTCACTCCACAAGCTGGTCAACAGTTGTCCACCCCTTTTTTCATCTTTGTATTTTTCTTGCGTAACCCTTTTTTCATCTTTGTATAATATTCCTAACGCTACAAACCTAGGTAAGCAGTACGTGCAATTTTGCTATGAACAAATTCAGACATGCCCACACGAGCTAGTGCCTAGTGGTGTATTGGTTACGCCAAGTGCGATCAACTCCCCGAGTGAGAAAACAACTCACGATCCCTGTCCCGTCGATGGCCTGTTACGTGCCCAACCCGACTGCACTACACTCCACTCCACTCCGCCACCGTGCTTGTGCGCTTGACCTGACCGGCACCGCACCGCACGTACGTGTCCTCGGGCGACTGGCCGGCGCCGGACGGACCCCTAGGGTTTCGTGCTGCGCCGCCGTGCTTCATCCATGTTCTTTGCCGGCTACAAGTGTAGACTATAGAATACAACAACTCTAGCTAGTGCTGGCAAATGCGCGCTTCCGCTGCCGAGACCGCGACGAGCCGTCCAATGGCGACTCGTTACACCGGCGAGGGCTCCCAAATTCCGATCTCCACTATGATCATAAACAAGTATAGCGGCCCATTTCGCGCGGTCACGTATGCCGTTGCTTTTCCCCTGCTTCGTGCACCCGCATTGCTTCGTTTCCCGTAAACGGGTTTCCCTTTTCACCGTCTATAAAAATCGTATGCTTTCTTATCGTTTGAGTCCTCGGCATCTCAAGAAAAGGAAAATCGGCGTTGTGCTTCCTTCGCCTATGCATTTTAGGTTATGTTATGTTATGAGCGTCGGAATATATTGGCACCACAGTAAAAATGGGAGTGGTTTTCCTTTTCACCATCTATAAAAAAGCGTGTGCTTTCTTATCGTTTTGAGTCCTCGGCATCTCCCAAAAGAAAAACCAGAGTTATATTTCCTTCACCTATGCATTTGATGTTACGTTATTGTTTTTCTTCCCAGTGGAGCGTCGCCATCTCCTTGGTCCTTGATACTTTGATAGGGATCGTCCAGTGGCCATTACCTATCTCTTATAGTAGTTTTTCTAAAGTAATAAAACACCCTGGTTAAAGCGATGAGGCGAGCCGGGGTTAAAAGACTGGAGACAGCGGCGGGACGTTCAGTGAACCAGCTACGCACTCATCCTTTATAAATAAAAGAACAAACAACTCCGCACTCAGTTTGTTTACTTAATCCTGACAGTATTAATTAAGGAGCTCAACTACGAGCGTACGTACACAAACGTACGGACTGAAACGTCCTGCTTTCGTCCCTGCGCGTGCGTCTGCAACTGGGCTGGTCGCATGGCACATACGGCGTCTTGTAGTACCTAGAACAATGCGGCGATCACTTAAACAATACTTCCTTCGTTCGGAATTACTTATCTCAAAAATCGATGTACCTAAAACTAAAATACGTCTAGATACATTCATTTTTGCGACAGTTAATTTCAAACGAAAAGAGTAGTTACGTTGATTAAGAAACACTTAAAACAATTGTTACAGGCACCAGTGACTTTCAAAGAAAAATGATGAACCGGTCGGCTCCTGGTTCCTTGGGTCTTGGCCTACCAAATTAGTTTTTTTAGAGAAGGAGGATGACCCCGGCCTTTGTATCTGGAAGATGCATGCGGCTATTTTATTGATTATTCTCGAGAATCTTATAAAGTAGAACAACAACATACTCGAATCCGTCATCTTGACAACATCTGCCACTATTATTATCCAAATGATGAAGGGCTACCGAATTAGTTAACTCACACTTAATTACTTTTATTACTTGACAATCGGAAGTTTAATTATTTCTGAGCCCGATTGAGGCCTATCACGTCACTTTGTACTGCTTATTTTAGTACCAGATAAATTGCACTTAATTATGCTGTGTTTATAACATGGCCTGACATGTCAAGCAATATAATAATGGTGTTCTCCACGTACTCGTAGTATCTAACTGCATAAACAGACCAGGCCAGTACATAATTTGCTGGACCAGGTTCAATGCTCTTCAGAGATTGCTCGTTTAACATTTCGAAAATCATGCTTTCATTTACGTACGGAGGGGTGAACTGTGCAGATCCGTCCTTGACCAAATCAATCAATATAGATCAATCGGCGCCGCTAAGCAATAACAAGGCCGACTCGATCCGTACGTTCCAGGACTGCGCACGTCTCCCCTCAAATAAAAAAGGATATAACCAGGATTCAGGACATGTATAATGGTGCTATCTTAAGAATGCCATGTAGGATAAATGATGAGGTAGAGGAGGGAGAACTCGTAAAAAAAGGCTTGTCTTCTTTTATTTAAGATAAGACAAGAGATGATCTCTTAGCATAATTTGTCTCATCATATTTTAAGAAATTGCTAGTTATTGAAGATAAGACTAAGATATAACCCATTGTAGACATACTCTTTTGTCATCTCTAAATTACATGTAAGACTTAAGATAAGACTGTCTTATCAACCATTGTACATGCCCTCAGTCGACTAACGTCAGCATGGTGCGTATTGGCCTACCCCGATCGATTGATTTTCCTCTTCGTTCATGTGGGCGTACGACGCTTTTCTTTAGTGGGCTGATTTTCCTTTGCTTTGTCTTCCCAAAGCTTGTCTCGTGCTGGGCTGTCTTTTTTTCCGTATCTTTTTTTCTTAGTGTGTTGGGCTGTCTTGTCTCCTACTTGGTTGCTTACTTTTTTTGTATTTTTTTCACGAATACGCACTGTGGCGTATCATTCCATTGATAGAAGAGAGAGAGAGAGAGAGAGAGAGAGAGAGAGAGAGAGAGAGAGTACATTGTTGGTAACCCTGATAGCCGTACACTAGGAGACGGCATTAGGGCGACCGGTGAGCCGGAGAGAGGGGGTTGCTCAGCCCCAGGGTACAGAGATCAGGTTACTGGGATGATCCTATCTAATCCTCGGGCGCCGGCTCTAGCCCAGCGTCGAGCCTCGTCCTTGATCGTGGCAAGGAGTTCGCCATTGGAAGGTTGCATGCCATCAAAGACGATGTTGTTCCGGTGCTTCCAGATGGCCCAGGCTATTATGGTGACCAAAGAAGCGAAGCCCTTGCGGAAGTAGGATGGAGCGGCCAGTGTGCAAGTGGACCACCATTCAAAGAGCTCAGCCTGGCCATCCGGTGGTGCAATCGGTAGTCTACACCACGAGAGAGCCTCGTGCCAGGTGATACGCGCAAGCACACTGTCGGTGAGGATCTGGTGCAGGGTTTCATCGTCCTGGTCGCAGAATAGGCAAGCGGCAGGGTGCGGCAGCCCGCGGCGAGCCAGGCGATCGGCAGTCCAACATCGGTTTTGAGAAGCTAGCCATAGGAAAAACTTGATGTTGAGCGGTGCCCAGCTACGCCAGATCAGCTTCCAGAAGGGTGCGGTAATCGATCCAACGAACAGGGCGGTGTAGCAGGTGCTGGCAGTGTAAACTCTCGTCAGAGACCAACGCCAAGAGAGTGCGTCCGGAGCGGATGAGAGGGAAACCAACCGCA